TACAATACATTAGAGAAACTGGCCTGATTAAACTGGAAATATCGCTTTTTGAAAGAAAGGTTTAATGAAAGGTTGTTACGGTTTAATTTTGACACCTTATAAACATATATTTATTTTCCTCTTTTATTTTCCAATATTCTTTATATATTGCTTAAAGAAATTGAAAGTTTTTCTTTTCAATATATATATTAAAAATAAGAAAGGCATATCCTGACTAGAAGCACATGTGCTTTACAGAAGGCAGAGCGCCATCTGGTGGAACAGAAATCAACTAAACATTGATTTAGCCTGTTCCCTGATATTTGGCCAACCCAATTTCTTGATAAATCAAGAAAAGCCATCCACGAACGCGTTTCGCGCTGTTGGCGCTCCTCAATGTGGAGTAGGCTGTACCACTGCGACCAAAAAGATATATATAAAAGGAAGGGCACATAATAATGTGTTGGTGATAAAAAAAGGCATATATTGAATATAAAATGATTTGCCAATATTTTGATTGACTGAACGCCAACCTCTGTCAAGGTATGGCAACTAATTTGTTGGCGACCAAACTATTGGTAAATAAATCCTTTTTCAATCCAATGTATGTCTTTTTAGTATGTAAATATTTGATTAAGAATTTCTCTATTTCAACAACAATCGATATATATATATATATATCTTTGATTTAATCAATAATAAATCAAGGGTTTCGTTTCTTATTTCCTTTATTTATCAAGCTTTTTCGGGCCAACATGTCCTTCAACACGAAGATCCTTAAGTAAAACTTCACGGCGAATTTATATACAAGTTTAGCTATATATATGTGATAAAATCTATTCTACATAATATCTAAACTTGTATATTAATCCTCCTAATCTTGTTGCACACTTTTCAGAAATATCTATTTTGTTGTTGCTGTTGTTGTCTCAAATAAAGATAGACTAGAGATAAACTTGTATATAAATTCGGCGTGAAGTTGTACTTCAGAATCTCCGTGTTGAAGAGAATGTTGGCCCGAAAGCTTGAAAAATAAAAGAAATAAGAAAATAAACCCTTGAATTCTTATTGATTAAATCAAAGTGTAAAAGCAGGGAAGAGTCTTTATCTCTCTATATATATATAAGTCAATGTCTGTCTGTCTGTTTCGCGATAAACTCAAAAACTACTGAACCAATTGGTACCAAATTTTGCATGGCGCTTTTTATAAACCTGAGGAAAATTTTCGGCTACATTTTGATTAGTATTTTTGGCTATTTCTTTTTTCATTTGAAAAACCTTTTTTTTTTTTTACGCGGAGTAAATACGAGGCGAAGTGACAACACCAGGCGAATTAACCGACCAATGAGCGTTCTGCATATTTTCCAAATCGCTTACACAACTTCGTATTCCGGGCAAGGCGGGTCATTCTTCTAGTTATATATATATATATCTTTAATTAAAAAAGGCATATATTGGATCAAAATACCAAAAAGGTTGGCGTTCAGCCAACTGAAATATTGGTAAAATAAATGCTATTTTGATCTAATATATGCCTTTTTAATTAAATATTTATTTATGGATTGCTCTATTTTCAAAACAAATATATATCTGTATGACTGAGGGTATTTTGTCTCAAGGAAGAAGAATCGGTAAATCAGAGGGTGAATAACCGAGACATACATCAAGCTCCAGAGAGGGTAACAGCCTGGGTGGAGGTTCTGCCCAGTCCACTGAACTGCCTCTTGAATCACCTGCTGACTAAGAATTCTCCATCATCGTTTCTAACAGGATATCCTGGTGTAATATCTACAACAGTATTTTATATTCACATCATATAACGATATTTTATGTTCATATCAGACCAATCTCCATCTATGCTTTCTTCCTGCGATGTGTTATCCATATCAGAACAACATTTTATATTGTAAATATGAACATTAGAACAATATTTATATACCGATCTGTGTTTATACATCATAGTTCTCTCTAAATTACCACCGATTTATTAAACATAAGGAGGATGTTAGAACTTCTCTAAGCCATTATTTTCATCGCAGTAAGGACAGTAAGGGAAATTTTAGGCGCAAACCATCAGCAAATTTTATTTGCACGATCAAGAGATGTCTGTTTTTTAATCGTCTGTTTTAAAAAAATTAAAAAGAATTTCGCTGAAAAGTAAAAGTTAAAAAGATGTTTAGTTGCGCAATGTTCCGGCAGCGGGAGATCACTGGGAAAACAAATATTGGGCCATTTTTAGACCTCCTCTTGATTGGTTGGTTGACAGCTTCGAGGGTACTTTCCCCATCTACCTATCATCATTGTTATTATCATGGTAGTAGTCAGGAGCTCTTCATCTCCGCCTGATATTACAATGGTTGCTATGGAATTCTTAGTATCACAAGTCATTCTTTCTTACCATTGTATAGAAAGGGTCCATTGATATAGGAAAATATATTATCGTTGCTAGGGAATGCATAGTGAAACACTCGAGATATTTGACCTCTTGTACCAACCATTGGATAGAGAATCTATTGAAATAGGAAAAACACCTAGTCTTTATAGTGTAACTTATTATTATTATTATTTATTATACCTTGAGTAAGATTACACCAGGTCATGAAAGTTGAAATCAATAATTTTTTTCTACTATAGTACTTATAAGATATTTTACCATTGTACCACCCATTGTATAAACAATTCTTTTTTTCATTTGAATTTAAAGTAAACACATTCGTGTTTCAAGGTTCTAATTCTTTATTATAAATGACGCGTGTGTGTTATTGTATTGTGTTTAATATATGCCTAGCAGGCTTTGTCCTTATTGTTTGTGGAAGAACATTGCTCGATGCAAACATTTTTATCACAAAGCAATAACGCGCCATCTAAACATATAAAATAAAAGGATTTAAAAGCGCGAATGTTTCTTTTATACATAAAACGAACTTCTACTGTCCTTACTGCGATGAAAAAATATATTGGGAGGGCTTGGTACATCAGTGGTGAACCCTCCCAGCGGTTTCGCCGCGGTAATTGGCGAAACCGCTGGAAGGGTTCACCACTGATATTTTAAGCCTTCCCAATATTCTCATACAGTAACGATAGTAGAAGTTTGTTTTATTTAGATTTAAAAGAAACAGTGGTGCTTTATATTTCTATATCTTAAATATATATGACGTGTTATTGTATCGTGTTTAAAAATTGGATTGAGTTAATTAAGAAAATAAAAATATACAATCGTTTTTAGGGAACTTCAAAATGCGAATATTTCAATCAACTATCATTCAATCGAGTTCATTGAGATAATAAAAATGATATTTAAGGAGTATATATATTGTAAATTTATAGTTTCATGAGCATTTTTATTACTACCCATTAAGAGTTGAGTTTATCAAGACAATTTACAATGGTGGCTTGGGAATTAACGGTATTCTGTTGAGCATTTTAACTATTCTTTGATATTTATCAACTTTCCGGACTAGATCCACCGTCGTGTTTTGCTTCTAAAACAATGACATTTCGCGACGCATGGGTGTTTATAATATATAAATGGCTAGGGGAATCACTTCTGGGTCCATTATAGCATCAATGTCACCTAAGTGAGAGAAGGACCAGCGACAAATCACCATCTGTCAAAGGCATTGTCGCACCCACCACTTTTACTTTCATTACAACCTGTCAATCCTCAACGCGGAATGTTCGAAAAATATTTGCTGATGGGTGTGCAAAATTTAAGGAACAATGAAATAATCATTCTTGAAAAAATTACAGAAATAGTATCACAAAGATAATTTGGAAATATATTACATTCTGAGGTAGTAATATTTATAATATGTAAACACAAAAGAAAGAAATTTAAACGCACAATTTTATGTCTAACCATCATGTTTGTATAATCATACAAACCTACTTGTATATATGGTTCAGGTCAGGGTAATCATGGTTGGAAGGATAACTGTCTTTACTGTAAATATACCACATGTTTACATTTATATAGAGCAGTTCGTTATTGCACAGATGATGTATATAAATAAAACCCAATAAAAACATAAAACTTCATTATAAAGAGATCTATCCTTTTTTTTTTTTTTAGTAAAAAAAAAGTTCCTTTCTTTTTGCCCATCATCGAATAGAAAGCCATATGTACAAATGAGTTCCCATCACTGGACACTTTATTTTTCCGTTTATCATTACTCTTCACAATTCATCCTTTCATACTTCATCCCTAAGGTTAGAAATAATCGTTATTTCTCCTTGAAATAAATTTAGATTTTTCGTTTAAAAGAAACACATGTGGGATAATTTTCAAATGTCGTTTTACAATCATAAGCTGCATTATATTGTATTATAAAAGAATCGACTTGTTGTTGAGGATTCCGACCCATCGCTCGACCTTCAGAGATGAATCCAATCGAGGGAGAAAGTACAAATTAGTAAATTCCTTGTAAATCAAAGATTCCGGGAGTCAGGATGACAGAGACACCTGGGGACAATAGGAGGTGTGTCGGTGACCCACATTAACCTAGCCGCCGCGTGCAGTTGTCGAGAGTTCGGAGTTCCTGCGACCTGTGGAGGCTCCCGTGCTGGAGACAGCGGACCTGCGGACGTTGGAGACCCTCAACACCAAGCTGCACCCTCCCTGTACAGGTCCGCACCTCACCTACACCAAGGTCACCTGGGAACTCCACGTACGGAAAGAGGTAAGCTTTTTTAAATCTCCAAAAAATTAAACTATTTTAGCACAAGAAATGGAAGCATTATAAAGCACGAATTTTCTTTTTTTTTTAACACAAAACACCACTGATGAGCCAAGCACTCCTAATATATTTTTTCATCGCAGTAAGGACAGTAGAAGTTTTTATAATACAATATAATGCGGCTTATGATTGTAGAACGAGGTTTGACAAATTAACCGCAAATGTTTCTTTTGAACGAAAAATAGAAATTTTATTTTAAGGAGAAATAACGACTATTTTTATCCATAGGGATAAAGTATGAAAGGATGAATTGTGAATAGTAATGATGAACGGAAAAATAAAAGTGTCCAGGGATGGGAATCGAACCCACAGTGTTCCGCTTACCGGGCAGATGCCATGTCCACTAGGTCACCCTGGAAATATTTTTCCATTCATAAATATTATATAAAGTTAATTTATAGCACTAAAGGTAGCCTAGTGGACATGGCATCTGCCCGGTAAACGGAACACAGTGAGTTCGATTCCCATCTCTGGACACTTTTATTTTTCTGTTCATCATTACTCTTCACAATTCATCCTTTCATACTTCATCCATAAGGATAGAAATAGTCGTTATTTCTCCTTAAAATAAATTACGATTTTTCGTTCAAAAGAAACATTTGCGGTGAAATTTGTCAAAACTCGTTCTACGATCATAAGCCGCATTATATTGTATCATAAACAAACTTCTACTGCCCTTACTGCGATGAAAAAATATATTAGGAGGGCTTGGATCATCAGTGGTGAACCCTCCCAACGGTTTCGCCAATTTAATCTACCAGATCGCTTCTTAGAGCTCAAAAACTGTATTGGACGATTCTGCTTATATAAGCTGAAATGAAGGGTGGAATCTTAGAATATTATTCAAGCGAACTGTGGACATAAGCTTTTAGGACTGTAGAATTACATATAAATATTTGCATCGAGCAATGCTCTTCCACAAACAATAAGTACAAGGCCAGTTAGGCATAATTAATTATATGGCGATAATGTGCTTTATATTTTAGCACAGCTTCAGTGTTGCATATATTAAATCAGAATGATCCAATACAGTATTAGAGCTCTAAAGAAGCGGCTTGGTAGATTAAATTGACGAAACCGCTGGGAGGGTTCACCACTGATGATTCAAGCCCTCTCAATATATATTTTTTTCATAGCAGTAAGGACAGTAGAAGTTTGATATATTTGTAAAAAGAAATATTCGCGTCTTAATGTTTTCATTTGTTATATATATAGATAGCGTGTTATTGCTTTGTATTACATTAAAAATGACACTTCTTGATCGTAAAAATGAAAGTTGTTGATGGCTTACACCATCTATCGGGATAAATTTCAACTAATCGTTGATATTTAATTATCCCAGAATATTAACTAAATACCCTTTCTTTATTAATCAAAGTATTTGATCAAATTTCTGGAATAATTAAAACCATAGATTAATTAATATTTATTCCGATAGATGGTGCCAACAATCAGCAACTCTCAGTTGAACGATCAGGAAATGATTTTTCTTTATTCATAAACTTGATCCCAGTACAATTTCATATTTGTACTATTTAATATATTCAGTACAATTATTTTTCTTTTACAAATTAAACGTTATACCTTCTGCTCTTACTAAAATGGACAAACTTGTAGTATTGAAAAGGTTGAAGGACCATGAGTTCAAAAACATGCCTTTTGAATACATACTAAAGATATAATTCAAGTGATTCTTTAACTCTTATAAGTGTGTGTATACACTTTTTAATACACTTGTGAATAACAACAACAAACAAAAAGATACAGGCTGCCTGGCCGGCATTCACAGTTCTTAAAATTAAGGATACTTCGGTCAGTAAATCTTTTCCTCATTGAACTAAAAAAAAAAAAAAAACACCGCACGCTGTTGGCTAATGACTCAACGATGATTGAGGTCACGTGATAGGGCAGAGCCAATTATTTAACGAATAAAGTGGACACCAACCACTTTACTCAAAAAAAAAAAAAATACAAACAGATTCAATACCTATATATATTATTACGTGGTTATTTGACATGGACCCAGAGCAGCAGCTTTACACACCCTAGACAGTGGGCATTGCGACTGCTGTGATAGAGATGCATGGAGACATCTGAGGCTCTTCATTGGACACGACAACAATATAACATTGTTATCTTTTCTCGATTAATCAAGAATGGGTATTTGCCCAATTCTGGAATAATTAAAATTTAACGAATAGTTGATATATATTACGATAGATGGCGCATTGCCGCATGCCGCAGACGAGATTAGAAATAAGTTGTAGAGTATAATACAAGTTAGGGTTGTAATACAAGATAGGGTATTCCATTTAAATTCTTCATTATTCCAGAATTCAGGAGGTAAGTCAAAAATTACAAGCCTAACATACATACCTATCACCGACACAAATGAAAAATGTACAAGCTTCTCTCTGAGTCGAACAATCCCGTGATTAGACAAATTAATTTTTACAATGACGGCCGGGCATTGTAAAGTTGGTAAAACCGAAATTTCAGATGTCAGTTTAGGTCGTTTCTGACTCACTACTTCCGCGTTAAACGTCACAATTCCAAAAATAGTAATGTTGATTATTGTTAATATTATAATTCCTTCGATAAAATTATAAATAAAAGACGATTGACTGAGGAAAGAGTTTCTTTTATACATATATATCGGCAATACAAGCTTTCGAGCTCAACGTATGCGCTATACCTGTCGAAGGGCTGTTGAGCCTGAAAGCTTGTATTGCCCTTATATATATGAAGGCACTCTTCCCTTTTTATTCAGACCCTCAGGAACAATTCACAGTTGGTCCAATCTTTTTACCTGAATGAATTTCCAGAGTTTATAAAGGTCTACCAGATCGTACCTAATGCTCACTCAATCAGATTTTTCAACTTGAGTAAACCACTCAGATACCCTCAATTGTGCTAGACATCTTCTTTAAAAGCTTTCATCAATATTTGAAAGTATTCGACTGAACTTTGAAAACGTTTTGATCTAAGCTAGCTCAAGAAGCTGGCAAAACGTGAACATCTGTGTGGTCCAACTTTCTCTACATGTTGATAAATATTACACATACATATATAAGGTATATATCTTTTATTCAATCCAATATATGCTATTTTATTATATAAAGATTTAAATATGGATTTCTATATATTCCTATCAATATATAAGGTTCTTTAATTAAAAAGGCATATATTGGGTCAAAATATCATTTATTTTACCTAAATTCTTGCAAGGCGTAGAGCGTCATAACCAAAACTGGTTGAGATCGTTTTGAAAATAGAGCAATCCATAGATAAATCTTTAATTAAAAAGGCATATATTGGATCAAAATATCTCATTTATTTTACCTATAATATAAGGTTCTATAAAATACTTTATGATTGTGAATATATTCACGTATAATCTGGTCTCATTCCTGTAAATTTTTTATTCCACACACGTGGTATAATTTCAATCAATATAATTAAATCAAGACAAGTATTTTTTATAAATTTATTTACACACCGGATGCTTATGTTGATGTTTTATGAAAATATAAAAGCAGACAATTACATTTGTTAAATAATGTCTGAATAAAAAAGTTTTGAAAAAGTTTGAATTATATTTGTAACATGCTTTGTATTTATTTATACAAAATATTTAATTGTTCATTGATTTTTTTCTTCATAGTTAGGTAGTCGTTAACACTATACTTTCTTCAATTAAAAAGGCATATATTGGATCAAAATATCATTTATTTTACCAATGTGGATACCAATATATATATGGATTGCTCTATTTTCAAAACTATATTTTCTTTCTTTTTCTAATTTTGCATAAGTTTTGTTTGTTTATATATTATCGTTAAACTTGTTGTAATTTAATTAAATATTAAAACACAAATAATTGTGACTTATTTCTAAATAGGAAACGTTACAATAATAATTATTAAAAGATAGCACGCCCACCATATATGCAAAGTAAGACACAATAAAAGAACAAGATAACTCACTAAATTGGGTTATGTTTGTGGATAAAGAGACATCTTCAAAAATATAGAGATCATCCGCCTCCAAAACAAAGACGCAGGTGGTTCTAAAAATGTTGCCACCAAATAAGGAAATTTTTCAGAAAACAAAACAGCAGGGCTGCTAGATTGTATAAATTTAGTTTCACAGAGGCGGGGTGACCCAGATTGTCCGTTTAGATTGTCTTTGAAACGACGTACAAGTCTGACTTTCCCATCACAATGACTTGATCCTTCTTTGTCGCATGAATTGAAAAGATTTTGTGATTTGCTTCTCTAAAGCCAACGCCCAATATTTAAAGACGTCAGATTTTCACTTTCGTAATCTCAATTAAGGGATCTTTTGTGTAGTAAAATTCGTTTTGAAATTTTCTCTCTTGTGCCTATTTGTGATGAGAAATAAATAAAATAGTTCAAATTCTTCGCATATTTACGTTTGTTTATTTGAAATTTTATGGTGTTTCGATGGTGTAATAGAAAATATGGAATGTATATAACATAGTTTTAAAACGATGTTTGTCAAGTTTTATCGCAAATGTTTCTTTTGAACGAAAAATTGTAATTTATTTTAAGGAGAAATAACGACTATTTTTATTCTTAGGGATGAAGTATGAAAGGATGAATTGTGAAGAGTAACGGTGATGAACGGAAAAATAAAGTGTCCAGGGATGGAAATCGAACCCACAGTGTTCCGCTTACTATTTTCGATTCCCATCCCTGGACACTTTTATTTTTACGTTCATCATTACTCTTCACAATTGGCGCTCTGCCATCTAAAAAGTTCATGTGAACGTGGTCAGTATTTGCCTTTTTTGATATTAATAAATGTGTTGATATAGTAAATAATATATATATTTTTAAATTTATTTATTTATTATATATTATAAAACTATTTTAGAGGCGTAATATTCTTTTTAAAATAAAACAATTTCTACTGTCCTTACTGCGATGGAAAAATTAAAGGGAGGGCCTGGCTCATCAGTGGTGAACCCTCCCAGCGGTTTCGCCAGTTTAATCTACCACTGATGAGCCAGGCCCTCCCTTTAATTTTTCCATCGCAGTAAGGACAGTAGAAATTGTTTTATTTTAAAAAGAATATTACGCCTCTAAAATAGTTTTATAATTTGATAACAGATGGCGCTCTAGTACATCGTAATTTATTATATAATTAACGCTAAAACGAGAAGACTGAAGGGAAGTCGTTTATTTAGTTATCAGACATGACAGGCTTTCGGACCTGTCTTTTCCTCAACAGGTTCTTAGATTTGAATCTTGTCTGAAAGCTTCCATATCTCATTTTTAGTGTTACCTTCCACCGGGGATTATCAACAACAACAATAAAGGCAAATCACTTTAT